TCTTTAAACAGCAGTGCTTAACAAAAAAAACTCTTCCAAAGGACACTTTGCCAGAAACTAACGACACTTGCGATAGGTCCACATGAATCGTTACGTGCGCCCTTTTACGTATACTTCTTGGTGGCGTCATATTGAATTGCATAAACAACAAATTAGTGTTCCGTCTTCACTCTGTTGTCTTCATGTTGAGCTTCGTTTTTTGCGATGCCCTCGATACGACAATACATGGACATACTATTTATAATATAGTAGATTTGTGGTAAATATCAAACAAGCAATAAAACTATCATTATTGTAACAGTATTTGGCAACTTCAGATAGTTATCTTGTTGAATAAACAGGAAACGCTAACAAATACCAATTTTTAACCGCGACAGATAATGGACACGACGTCATCGAGACGATTCCGCTTTTAAGCCGATCACTACCAACAATTGCCTCTAACGGTTTGATCAAATGGACATAATCTGAATCTCGAAGATAAAAAAAAGTGTACGCATTCGATCTTGCCGGCCGCACAGATACTATTATTTTTCTTCATTCAGTAGCAATCTCAATAGCACTAATAAACTCCACGTGTTCTTCTGATATTCTATACATGCATCGTCATCTTTACTGCACTATATTTAGAGATAAATAGGGTACACTATAGGGATACATGATAAAACTGGCTATTTTCTCTCTGAACGGGACCGCAGATACAGCCGCTATTGATATTATCAATGGTGGTCTAGAAGCTCTGATCCGATATATAGCGACGGCGAAAACGCAAGTCGTAATAGGCCCTAGTGTTATCATTTGCAATTATCGCAGAACAAACTACTGAAGGAGGTAATTGCCAGTGGGCCAGATTCAGATCATAGTTGGTGAGCTTTTATTTACTGTCCTTAACTTATGTATTTTCGCCTTGCCACGACTTCGAGCCCTTAAGGCCACCGGGCGATACCAGTATCGTACCTTGATAGAATAAAGCGTAGCGGAACTGATGTGAACGTAGCCAGTGCGCCATGATTGCAAACAGTCATTTTGGTGACAATTTCCGTGACGATCTAAGAGCACTGCCGTCTGTTCCGTAATTTTGTACCAGTAGAAAATGAAACTCAATTCAACGACTTGGACGACGACGACGACAGCTAAAACCGGATACGCGACCGAAAGTATTTTGCGGTAGATATCCGCTTTGAGTGTTCTCTATGGTCGCCATTAACGATAACAGTAATAAATCTGATAATTGTCAAGTGCGGTGGTCAGCTTGATTACAGCCCGCCAACACCCTTCGATTGACAAGACTCGATTTGTTATGATGGTTATTAGTACTTTTACGAGTCGTACCATTATTGGTGTGATAACTTAACCGATAAAGGGCAGGTTTAATTAAGTTATATGGAATAATTAACCTGTGATCATTACTCCTGCACTAATGCAACTGGTTAAATAAAATGCGCACTAATCAGAAGGCAATTTGTCTAACAGATAATGACGCAGAACGCGGATCCGAGGAAGAGTAGTTTACTGAATGTGTCTCATATCTGATCAAGGCTTCTACTTGACTCAATCGAATTTGTCCGATATTCGGTTTAATAGACTTCCACACCGATTCCCAAGAACCTCCGTCCACATCTGGAAATCTAATCTACGAGTATATATACTTTATCTGGAAGTCTAGGCTTTGTTTGATTATAGAGCTAATCTACGCTGAGTTATGAACGTGTTTGCCCAACTCTATCGTCGTACAACAGAGCGTTACATGTCTCGTGCACGCTGTTAATACAGAATAACTTCTATGTGCCAAGCCACGTCGCCTGGCACGAATGCATTATTATTAATGGTGCACGGCAAACGTTCCTTTACGTAACTTAGCGCACACTAGTAAGTAGTTTGGCCATTACTAGCTACTGCAAGTTGCAACATACAAGCGTGATCGAAATGAAGCAATGATATCGTGTTCGCTTAATGAAAAAAAAAAAGTGAATCTAGGGGGCAAACAGTGGTCTAGGTGCGAAACTGGGCGTTGACATGGTTTACATTGTGCTAGCTGAGCCCAGTCGCCCAAGTACTAGACTAAGGCAGTACCGCCATGCGTAAAATGCACGTTTTTATGATAAAACTAGCTGCGTCAGGCCAATTCATGTCCTTATGCTCCGCATATAATTATGTCGATAAATGCTACACAAAGATGTCAACGACAAAAATGGGGGCGGAGAATCAGGGTTCCGATCATCGACGTCTTCTCAACATCCGGACGCTGCTATTGCGTTCGGGCTATATTTCGTGCATAAAAAGCATTTCTCTCAGCTTTTTCCCGTGATACGTCTATTCACCAACGTGCTAGACCGTCAAAATCATATTTGTGTACTTCTACCAGCCTAACTATATGAGGAAATTGTTAAAAAAAAAAACAGAGTGATTTCAGTTGGGCTAGTTCCCCTATATACGTTTCGTTAAGATGTTTTTATTGACGCTGTGACCACTTACGATTACAAAGCGCGCGCAAATGTTTGATAAATTAACTGAATTATCTATTTTGTAATTTCGAGAAATTGTCTTAGAGTTTTCGGCGCCGATGTTTCGTCGGTACCCGAATGATCACCTAGATGAATTGACTTTGCAGCCCAAGATCTTCTTTTGTCAAGTACGTATTCCTGTTCCCACTTTTATACGAATAAGATTTAAACTACTAATCTAGATGTTTCGTTAAATCAAATAGTTTTATTTATCTTCTCAGAAGCCTTTGGTCCTTTTAGGCAGGTACCTAAAAAGATGAAAAGTCTATTGCATTGTTTTGAATTTTATATTTATTGGTCACTTCGCGAGCGCTGTTTGGTCCAACATCACTTCGTTTCAGCCTTGTGATTCGTTACGTCATGTCCACCAACACGTCGCGATGGATATTATGTATGTATTACCTGTTACTGGGATACATCTGCGTGATATAAAAACTCACATGTATGAACAATTTCTATTACGTTTGTTGGCAGGTGCCCACTTAACAGCGCAAATCGTGTTTGCAAATTCAAACACTTTTACAGCCGCAGTCCGTCGATCTTAACAAACCAGGCAGCAAGAAGCAGTAAAGGACGATAATATCATCAGCACAAACACCGAAGAACAGAATGGATAACAAAAAAAAAAAAAAAAAGAAGAAAGCATTTAGAGACAATGTATTTCATACGTTCTTCACGTAAACGCCACTAAAAAAAGCGAAAATAACCATTGATTTACACAGGTACCCCATGCATACTTGTAGGAACAGTAACAGCAGTAGTAGTAGTAGTAACAACGGTAAAAACAACAAAACTTAGCTCCAAACAGCAGCCAACGAAATCGAACCGTTGGTTAGCACTGAACTATATAGAAAAAAGGCAAATGATGTAAAGATATGGCTTTTATTCGTGCCTCTATCCGTTCGAATGCCCGCCCGGTTGCTTCTTCCCTATTTTGCTGTCCGGACGCGTTCGAATTGACATCAGGGACTGACCGCCTAAGTTTCACTTAAAAGTTACGCTGCAATAACAGGTTCGGCTCGTTTTGACGCTGCTGAACCTTGTTGCCCGGTGGAGTGCTAGTTGCCAGTTTGCTGGCGCTATTACGAGCTGCCCGTCCACTTCGACTGATTGAGGTAAGGGCGACAAGTCCCACTTTGTCGTCGAAAACGACCAAGATGCCAGCCCAGGTTGCAACCGCACACAGACGCAAGGCGTCATCGTGCTTGAATGCGAAAAGAAATCATCGACGGTGCCCGTGATGACAATGGCTGCACCGTGCTCTTCCTGTCACTGCTGTGGGAGCTACAACTAACAGACGGCAAAAGGTCGCTCGTGAAACGGTCATCCCATCGTGTATGGATCTCCCGTAAAGTCGTTGCTTGCGGCGGTGGGGCCCGGGCCGGTTGAATATGAAAGCTGTTTGGGACGCTAGGCATGTCTCGCCTATTCAACGGCACTTTCCTTGATTTCAGACAGTGATTTGTTGCGTGTTTGGTGCTCGTAGTTATCGAATGACAACTGATCTTTTTGGCGGTATTTGATTATGCCGATGGTGGCGGAGCAACAGTAGTTGTAGAGAGCAGATCATTCGAGCAGACGAAATGACGGCGCACCTCTATGACGCTCGCAGCAGGGCGATTATAAATGAGTGAACAAAGAAACCGTTCGGGCAAACAAACGGAAGGGTGAGGAGGCCGCTGGCGTAAAACGAATCGAGCGCAACGTATTCGATATGCAAATATATTGCCACGTGAATCAATGTGTAGTTGCCCCCCCCCCCCGCCCCTGTAACGGTGTGGCGTTGAGCCGTTATTTGGGGGGTAATCAACAATAATAGCCACGTCTAGAACCTGACTGTGATTGGACGATATTAAGAAAGGATGTTTAACCCTTGACATGTAGAGTAGTAACACGGCGGTAGTGCTAGTCACTGGCTGAAATTAAGTTTTGTTCTACATAAGTAAGTCGAGGTGTAGTTACGGTAGAGTAGAACGACACCCCAAACGGGTGCTTAAAGAAAGCCATTGTTGAACTTCTGGATGGTAGTCCAGTAATAATAATAACATTATATTGTACATGAACATAGTTCCATTGAATTAATTCTCACAGACTACTCGTCAAAGTGTGAAATAATAGTGGATAATGCTTGTTTCGTCGCTTTGCTCAACTCTTCTGACTCTTCAGAAGCAAGTTCAACCGGTCTATGCAAGGTGGAGCAAAAATAGACTTGTAATGGAAAAGATTGAGGTATACAGTTAGGAACATATTAAGGTGATAGTTCCGAAAATAGTAGCCTGATAGTTGAAGTGGTGTCCGTATCAACTAGCAACCTACGTTCCTTCATAATAAATAGGAAGCTTCCGTTTCCCGCTCTCAAAGACCTACATCTTTTCCAGCTGGGAGCCTATTCTTATCCGATTCTGTATGTGCAGTCTTAATAGCCAAGTAGTATGAAACATATAGTGTGTGTGGAAACTCGCTGAAGAAGGATATCTTTCTGTTTCTGCCGTTTAGGGCCTAGGAGCGGCTGAGCCTATTGTGAATTGAAGGGCAATTCGAGAATGGCGACTATGAGGGTGTACAATGGATGATAACCGCACTTCCGATGCGTGATTTAAAGGAAAAGGTATAAGAATATGTACGATTCAAGCGGTGTAGCCCTTCTCGTAAATCTAGCGGGGCGTACGCAGAATGGAACAGAACGTATTTTTTATGTGAGCGACATAGAGATAAAGGGTCTAGTCGGACTGGGAAGTGCAGAAAAAACATCCACTACTAAGCCGAGCTAATTGCTGGAACAGATAGACTCCTTGTCCAAATATTGTTTATTACATGATAATATAGTTAATTCCAAATTTATTCTCAACGAGATCATTTTCCGCTCGACGGCTGTATTTTTGCCCGAGAAATCGGATCAAATTTAATACTATACGATCAAAAAATCAACTACAAACATGTCACCTAACAAAAAATAAAGAAAAAATTATTTTCTAGCTGCTTTCACTAGGCAGCAAACGGTTCGCCATATAGATATAATTGTCAAATATGTAACTCGATACAAATAGATAACGTAAAACAGTATTTTACCCCGAAGTCCACTCAATGGACCGACGTAATTCGAAGTATATGTTGGTGTTTTTTTTTTTTTTTTTTTTTTTTTTTATTTTAACAAATCTATGTTCGAGCTACGATTTGAATTTTTCATATTGTTTTTAAGGCAATAAAATGTGTACTTGACGTTTTTCTCAGGCAGCGAACAAATTATTAAATGGGGGAAGCAAGAGATCTTGACCCGCCTTACTGTTTCAGTAAGTACTAATCCTGCTCGGTCTTTTACAGTAGTTTTGGTCATCTATGAGTAGCTGGCATAAAAATTCTGTATATCATTTTTGATGTTTCCAGCAGCAACTCTTTTAACTAGCTAGTTTCACACACCGACCCACCTATATGGACGTGTTAAGTTTTTTACGACCCTCTACAAAGGCTACTGAAATCAGGTTGCCTATCCATAGCGATAATATGACGTCGTCGTCGTCGGATGAATCTATGCCAGTTCGGAGATCAGCATTGACAAGACAGCCGCTCTAGTTTTCTTTTACGTAAAAACTATTTACCCCATTGATTTGTATCGAATTTGGCCCAATGTTTGGGTTAAGGATCAGTCGACTGAGCAGAAAGAACAGCCGGGTTAAGGATCAGTCGACTGAGCAGAAAAAACAGCCGTTGCTGCAACCAGCGATTTCTTACCTCTAACGATGCAATAGAAAGCAAACTATTAGCGCAAATCCAAAATCCTCATCACATTGCCAACGGTAGATGCGTGCCATAGTAAAATGCGTCCCATAGTCTAGAATGCTCACTTACGTTTCTTTAATAATCTTTATCCATATTGTTTTGAAGAGTAGACAAATTAAGCTATCTAAAAATAGCTAAGTTACATGAATTACTTTAGCCTATAGCACTGACATGAAGCGCGGATTTACAACGGCGCTGTACGGACAGAGACATGGCAAGCTCAAATCGGGGAGTCCTTTGTCGCGGCATCGATATAATTCTACTGCAGAAACAATAAATCTTCATAGAAGGTCATCAGTAGAATTAAGTTCTGCTTATAGCGTAGCAAGGGTCACCCAGGCCTTTCTTTCTACGCCCAGGTCGAATTAACTATAAGGTCTATTTTGTCATTTTACACCAGAAAATTTATATGATTACCTTTATGCGTAAGCATTCAGATTGATCGTCCTAAATGACAGGGACGGTAAGCTGCTACTAGTTTATCAAGAGAAAATATTTAAGCATTCATATTCTGATAAGGATTCGTAGTGTTAGCCTAAAGACAGTTCGCAGTGCAGGAAGGACAGAAAATCCGCAACAGACATTGACGCTACGAGCAGCAGCTGTCAACAATGGGGTCTCGTGGGGGCCATCCGTTTGTGAAGAGAGACGCTCATCTTTCGCTTTTTTGTTCAGCCTTTTCATTTGATCGTGTTTTTTTGGTTGTTACGCTGGCAGTGTTGCTATTGAAACATAAACCCCTATAGAACTTACGTGTCGCGTTACGACAAATGTCACTACAGTATCTCATATTTGCCATAACGAACAACCTCATTTCTAGGTGTTTTTGCAAATGACGTTTAAAGACGAAGGTCGACTCAGCCATCTATGCCAAGGATTCGCTAAGCTCTGCCTTGTTATGCTTCATTGTATTGCCTATGGCCACGAATTGGCAAGTAAAAGGCAGATAGGTACATTACATCGAGCAAAAAAGAACCCCCGTTCCCCACTATTTACCCGTCTATGCGTAATTATTAACACCTGTGTTCAAGCGTTAGGTCGTCGAACGCCCGATCTTCCGGACCAGTTGTGTAAATAAAAACAAAATTATTTTTAAAAAACTCAAGTTTAATCTGTCATAAAATACAAGTGCACACGAGGGGCATTTGCTCTCGGTACTTGTCCTGCCTTAATATTTTTGGCTTCCAGGTTTAGCAGAAAGATCAATTTTAAACCGAACGACTAATGTGATTAAGCTTAAGTTTTATGGCAATAGAAAGAATTGACGGGAAGCGGAGGTTTAAAGGGAAAATAATCTTTGTTTTATACCTCGGTGCCACTCTCAATAGAGGCGCACACAGGGCCTATCACTGTACTTTTCTTAGGACAACTGTGCATAATCAACGCATTCGGCCAGAGCTGTGGCTTTGTTTATTCTCGTCACAATACCTTAATTTATTTATAACCTTTTGTATGTAAATAAATACACACGGCTTTTTCTATTCGTTGTTCATGAAATACAATAGATTTTGTTCAAAACATTGCTAAAATTTTACCACTGTCCCTTTGTCTTTCTATTAACAGCAGCCGACGAAAATTTTCACGGAATAGTTTAACACAAATGGGATCTATATAGACGCACAATACGCGATTTATGTCCTGTAATATCTTCAGCATGGAAGATCCGCTGCCAAATGGACCGCGAACGTTGGTCCGCTTCCGCCTCTTATCTTCAACGTATTAATTGATTCTATTGTCCAATAGAGGGTTCTGTGCTACCGTCCAATTTATTTACAGGAACTCAACGTTTCGCAACGCGCGCTGGACTAAGTGTCATCTCATCCGTGTTGACCGTAAACGTTTCTAGAAAACCTTGGCATGAACATAAAGTATTCTGTAGAACATGCCGAGCGGTGTCACCTACAACATGAAGTTCAAGTCGAGTAGAATTATAATCCATCTGAGAAGCGAGCAAGTTTCTACCTATATTCGTAATATCTTTTCATTTTTGTATACGCTTCGCCCTTGTAAAATAGAATAGATAAAGCTACTACCATCGCGAAGGGCTTGCCCTCTTTCTGACTTTGTCGATTCGGGGCATTGCAAGAGGGGGCATATGAATGCGACTATGAATATGCAACAGAAACAACTCCAGAGACAGAAAAACGTCCTGTGAAAATTGTAACAGCTCACAGGTTAATCTTGCGGTGTATACACGTAATTTAATGCTAAAGGTACAACGTATGAAGCCGTACTGAGCAATAATCGTCAAATTCGATATCGGGGCAGTGTTGTTTTAATGAGCATTGAACAAAAATAAAAGGTGCTAAAAGCAGCACTTTACTTATTTCAGTAACTGTCCTCTGCAGAGTCGGATCTCTGGTGGTCCAATAACAGGGAAACTTTGATTGAAATCTTCCAATAATGATTACGTATGACTCGATATATCGATGTACAGGATTGTCAAAAGCTTGTATTAGTAGCCGGTAACGATCGTGCAACTGATTAGCTCGTTATTGTTTTCTTATAGAAGAGGAGACGAGCCGTACTTTCCTTGCAAATAGCAGAAACAGTTGTTAGGATAACCGGTCTTAACACAATTCAATGTGACTCGGAATTGCTTCGAATAACGCTACTACCATAATTTGCACTTTTCGATTGCTTTAGCACCCTGTGTTGATGTTATAGATACCTACCGTAGCGAGCGTCGTCGGCGAGCAACGTCTTCTAGGAAACGCAATGCACAAACGGCATAAATTAGTCGTGCCATGCGAAGAATAATGAGTACCTTTTGAACTCGGCCAGCCGACGGAGACAACAACTACTGTTACGCATGAATTCTGTTCTAGTTATTTACTCTGCTGATGCGGGAACGTTCCGAGATGTTTGGCTATTGCACGTATCGTTGTTGATATATCAGCTGATATATCTAACGAAATACATACGTCAGTAGTAAATATAGCTGCCTATTGTACACGTTAGCGGATAGGTCTAATTTAGTTGTATGCAATTTTCCAGGACGGTAGGTGCCAGTGTATGGCGAACGGTACGTAATTCTAACGGCTAAAGATGGCTTTTTCTTGTTGCTGGCTCTGAGCTTCAACGTAAGGTTGACAGTCAATTATGTCTGCCATGGCAAATCTAAGATTATTCGTAATAGTTACTCAATTACCTGCTTCTAATAACGCATATAGTTATCGATCCTGCGGATCGTTTACAGATCACCAGCTGATCGCTCAAGCGTGCCCCTATACAGTACATTAATTGATCAACGTTGCTAGGTCTGAGATCGAAAGACATCGATTCTGCCAATACTCGTATCGATAGCGGATGGTTTTTCTATCGTAAATTGCTAAGTAGCTATTAAGTGCTCTTGCATTTTTTCCAGCGATAGAGATATCCCCAAAAAAGCCGGATATCTGACTGTATCACGCAATAGAAAAGAAAGAAAGACTTAATAATCTGCAATATCTGGCACAGGCGTCAAGTTCTAAGGGTTCATATATATATATATATATATACATCATATATATCGCGCGTTCTATAGGGACACACCTATCTACAGTTACTGTAATATGCTGTTGGAATACCATAGCGTTTCGATGTCTACATGAATAGCTGTTACGGTTATTCAAATGGTTCTATTGATTTATACCGGAATACTCTGAAGTACGCTTGAAAACAGCATTAGGTTGTGTCTCTCCAACACTCCTAACGCTTTCAATCCGTAGAGTGGCATAGCATTTTTCGGTCTATATTTAACCTCGATGCGGCCATCATCGCAGAAAACCAGCAAGTCCTTTGAAAACACAAAGAACAATAAATTGATCGAGAAAATGTTTGTCGCTGATAATTAAAGCATCAATCACATCACGAATTACGCTAGCCCGCCTCTTTCGATCCTCCCTGATAACTTGTCCTGTTACCCTCAGCAGTACCACAAACTTGTAGTCTTGAAAGACAGTCTTGATGATATTTTCTAGATCGCGATCGCGATCGCTCAGGGAGGCGCTGTGTCGATATAACTCAAACGAGCCTGCGCAGAAAGCCACAGGCAAAATGACACACTTCAAGTTGGTCCTGTTATTTGGAAGCTGTTTGAAATGGCCTTTGAACATCTTTAATATAACAAGCCTTATTTGCGCCGATGGGGGCATAGAGCACCTTGACATATCCCCTTTGAACTATGGATCAGACAGAAAAACTTTTGCTTACTTTATCAGTCTTGTCTGTTGTACTGTGTCGTATACAGATTTTGAATCAGCGACCCGTGCCATTCTCGTTCAGAGACTAACTTTTAGAATCCGGCATATTGTACTGAAATTTCCCTCCCTTCCCCACATATACCCTCTAATAGATGTCCATAACGGAAAATGGCCAGCAATAGGATATTTATCCTAGTAACATGTCCAAAAAAAGATTCTTTATCACTAAGCAAAATCGGACCATTATCCGTATGGCCCGTAATCTAACGTATAACGTACAAATAGATTACTTCAAATTTCTATTTCCAGAAAATGGGAAACACTGCAACAATTTCACACATTGCCAGTTGCAGACATATCGGCATCGTTAAGTGATAATTAAGTGGAAATCAATTACGACAAAACCAGGTAAGCGATAGCAGAAAAACACTTCATAACAAACTATTATTGTAAACAAGAATAAAAAAAAATAACATCGTCGCTCTATTTTCGTAGAAGTTTTTTGATCATGTATGGTTAGGTAAAGCGTCTTCTAAGGGATTCGTATTAATACCAATTTTTCTATTTAACATATGTTCAAGCTGATTATTTTGGCGATGTAGCATTCATGACAACTGAAGAATCCCCAAATGATATAATTTAAGGCCAGAGACAATATAATGTCGTTCTAAAATCAACGATGGTTTTTTTATGCTTAGGTGTAATGACCCAGCTTTCACGTCTATCGGACCAAATCTTGTAGAAGAATTATTCATGGTATAATTATCAGCCCCAAAGGTTTCTTTGATAATTCGCTTACCCGGAATAGATCGTCAGTCAGATTAGTGGTCGTATCATTACTTTGCCATCTTTAAGGGAGTTAGTTAAAGTGGTCTAAGTGGCTAATAGTCATTTTACCCAGTGTGTCGTCATCGTAATCGTGGAGATGAAGTAAAAAACCTCGGTAGCTTCAAATCGGCCTAATTTGCATCGGCAAATTAGGGTTGTGACTACGAAGGAAGAAGTGGGTTTATGACTACAAACGAGCTGCTTGGACTATTACTGAGCCGTTAGATTATGATTTTGGAGAAATCTCGGACACGTTCAACAAAAACCACCTTGGCTACACCTACTGGGTGGAATGGGGGAAATTTTTGACGAAGATTCCGAGGATTTGTTTGAAGATGGGTGACAGCAAAGGATAGGATGAGTTACTTGCGTTGAGCAAAGACAGCTCGTAGTGAATCGACTTTCAAGAAGAAAAAACTTCAGTAAGCAACTTGTTTACAAGGGATCCAGCAGAGAAGTAACTTTTTCGTCTGTGGCAGATTTTTGTTCGGAATTTAGTCAACTCGTTTTTTCCGTTGTATCTTCGTAGAAAACGTTCTAGACTCGAATGTACTCATTCATCATACCCATAAAGAATGCTACCCCAGAAGATGCTCGATTACTGCAGTCGTGAGGCGTCTACAGGCGGGCGCTATTGAAAACGTTACCAAATGCTTACAACATCAATTCATACTGCTAGTATAGAACTACTAGAGAGAGGCCTGCGGGAAGCTAGTTTATATTTATTTTATGACTTTCTGTTTGTGTTTTCTTACAAACGCTAATATCTTGAACTGACCCCTGAACACTTGCGGTAGCCAAACCCTGATAGTATCCACTGTGCGCGCTGACGGACTTCTTTGCTCAAATCATTTACGATAGGAAAATTTGTTCTGTTATTCTGTCTTAGACTTTACGATTAGACCGAGCTTTTGTGCCTCATGATGAATGTCTACCGATATCATTTAATCGTTTTGTGGACAATTTGCCTTTGAATATGTAAGATTTGATGAGATGAGGAAACTGAATTAAAT